CCTAACCATAACATTCGTCTAAGACTCAAAGAACTTCCTAGAAGAGGAGGTGGGAAGAATGTGAGAGACAGAAGGTAGGGAGAAAGGCTGAACAATACTATCTTCTATGCATGAACTCACAGTAGCTATGGTTACTTGAACTAGGCCTGCACAAGACTGGTCCTGTCAACAGTTAGGCATGGACAGGGTAGGGGGTTGTGTGCTGAATCTATTGTCTGCTAATAGATTCTGTGAGGGGGGAGTCGTTCTCTTCAGTTGCCAGGGGCAATCCCATAGGAATCCAATGGACAGTTCCAAACCCATGGTCTTACAGATGGCCTTGGCTAGTGGTCCACAAAACAAATAAATAAAAATGACATGAGTATAGGAAAGAGATTTGTAGGGAATGTAGGAACTGGTAGTGGCTGATAGGGGCTTAGAAAAGTACAAGGATGTGAGTGGTCAGAATGCATTATGTGCTTGCATAGTCATGTTGAAGAATACATTTAGCTAATTAAAAATGTGGTGGTTGAAAATTTAAAAATTTAAGGGAAATGGACAATTTTCTGGATAGCTATCACTTGCCAAAATTAAATCAAGAACAGATAAGCAATTTAAATAGACATATAACCTCTATGGAAATAGAAGCAGTCATCAAAAGTCTCCCAAACAAACAAAAAAACCAAAAACCAAACAAACAAAAAAACCCAGGTCCAGATGGCCTCAGTGCAGAATTCTACCAGAAATTCAAAGAACAGCTTACACCAATTCTTCTCAAAGTATTCCACACAATAGAAGCAGAAGGGTCTTTGCCAAACTCTTTCTATGAGGCTTCAATAACCTTGATCCCCAAGCCACACAAAGACACAACTAAAAAAGAGAACTTCAGACCAATATCCCTCATGAACATGGATATAAATACTCAGTAAAATACTGGCAAATCAGATCCAAGAACACATCAAAACAATCATTCACCACGATCAAGCAGGTTTCATCCTAGGGATGCAGGGATGGTTCAACATACAAAAATCCATCAATGTAATCCACAATATAAACAAGCTGAGAAACAAAAATCACATGATCATCTCACTAGATGCTGAAAAAGCCTTTGACAAAATCCAACACCACTTCATCATAAAGGTCTTGGAGAGATCTGGGATAACAGGAACATACCTAAACATATTAAAAGCTATATACAGCAAACCAACAGCCAACATCAAACTAAATGGACAGAAACTCAACACAATTCCTCTAAGATCAGGAACAAGACAAGGCTGTCCACTCTCTCCATACCTTTTCAATATTGTACTTGAAGTTCTAGCTAGAGCAATATGACAACAAAAGGAGATCATGGGGATACAAATTGGAAAGGAAGAGGTCAAACTTTCACTATTTGAAGATGATATGATAGTTTTCATATGTGATTCATCCAAAAAACTCTACCAGGGAACTCCTACAGCTGATAAATACTTTCAGCAAAGTGGCAGGCTACAAGATCAAGAAAATCAGTAGCTCTACTGTATACAGATGATAAAAGGGCTGAGAAAGAAATCAGAGAAACATCCCCGTTTACAATTGCCACAAACAACATAAAATTACCTTGGGGTAACGCTAACCAAACAAGTGAAAGACCTGTATTGCAAGAACTTTGAGTCTTTAAAGAAAGAAATTAAAGAAGACATCAGAAAATGGAAAGATCTCCCATGCTCTTGGATAGGTAGGTTCAATGTAGTAAAAATGGCAATCCTGCCAAAAGCAATCTACAGATTCAATGCAATCCCCATTAAAACACCAGCACAATTCTTCACAGACCTTGAAAGAACAATAATCAATTTTGTATGGAAAAACAAAAGACCCAGGGTAGCCAAAACCTTACTCAGCAATGCAACATCTGGAGGCATCACCATCCCCGACCTCAAGCTCTATTATAGAGTTGTAGTCCTGAAAACAGTTTGGTATTGGCACAAAAATAGACAGGCAGACCAATGGAATCGAACTGAACACCCTGATATTAACCCATACATGTATGAACATCTGATCTTTGACAAACAAGATAAAAATATACAATGGAAAAAAGAAAGCATTTTCAACAAATAGTGCTGGCATAACTGTATGCAGGCACACTGCAGATAGATCTATGTCTATTGCCATGTATCAAAGACCTCAACATAAATCCAGCCACACTGAACCTCTTAGAAGAGAAAGTGGGAGGTACCCTTGAATGAATTGGTACAGGAAGCTGCTTCCTGAACATAACACCAGTAGCACAGAAACTGAGGTCAACAATTAGTAAATGGGACCTCCTGAAACTGAGAAGCTTCTGTAAGGCAAAGGACATAGTCAGTCAACAAGACAAAAAGGCAGCCCACAGAATTGGGAAAAGATATTCACCAACCCCACATCTGACAGAGGGCTGATCTCCAAAATTTACGGAGAACTCAAGAAGCAAGTCTCCAAAACACCAAAGGATCCAATTAAAAAGTGGGCTGCAGAACTAAATAGAGAATTCTCAATAGAGGAGTCTAAAATGGCTGAGAGGCACTTGAGAAAGTGCTCAACATCCTTAGCCATCCAGGAAATGCAAATCAAAACAACTCTGAGATACCATCTTACTCCTGTCAGAATGGCTAAAATCAAAAACACCAATGACAGTTTATGCTGGAGAGGATGTGGAGAAAGAGGAACACTTCTCCACTGCTGGTGAGAGTGCCAACTTGTACAGCCACTTTGTGAATCAGTATGGAGATTTTTCAGAAAAATGGGAATTAGCCTACCACAAGACCCAGTAATTCCACTCTTAGGCATATATCCAAACGATGCACATTCATACAACCATGATATCTGTTCTACTATGTTCATAGCAGCATTATTTGTAATAGCCAGAACCTGGAAGCAACCTAAATATCCCTCAACTGAAGAAGTAGATAGAGTAAATGCGAGACATTTACACAATGGAGTATTATTCAGCAGAAAAAAAACCCCAAAAAACAATGGAATCCTGAAATTTGCAGGCAAATGCATGGCACTAGAAGAAAACATCCTGAGTGAGGTAACCCAGTCACAAAAAGACATACATTGTATGTACTCTCTCACATATGAATTTTAGACATAGATCAGGGGAGTGCCAGCCTACAATCCCATGGCCAGAGAGTCTTGGAAACAGAACCTTCATCCAATGACTGATGGAAGCAGAGCCAGACACCCACAGGTAAACACTGAACTCAAGCAACCCAGTGACAGAGAGGGAGGACTGATGACCAAAGGCATTAAGACCAGGCTGGTTTAACCTGCAGAAACAGCTGACCTGAATAAGGAGTAGCTCTTGAACCCCAGCCTGATGGCTGGGAATCCAGCATGGGACTGATCAAGATGCCCTGAATGTGGGTGTCAGTGAGGAGGCCTAGGCAGTCTATGGGACCTTGAGTAGTAAGTAAATCAGTATTTATCCCTGGCACTGTGGGATATCCCCATCCCACAATGAGAAATGCACTCTTACCCTGGACTCTTTGGGGAAGGTCTAGGCTTTGCCCTAGATGAAATGACAGACTATGGACACCCCCATGGAAGGCCTCACCCTCCTTGGGGAAAGGAGAGGGTATGGGGGTGGTTGGTGGGACGGTGTGGGAGGAGGGGAGGGTCCTGGAATTGACATGTAAAGCAACCTTGTTTCTAATTTAAATAAAAAAATGTAGTGGTTGGACTACAATGTCACTGAAGTTGCTACTTGGTTTTCTCTCTATGCCCCTGAAGCAAAATGATGAAAGTAATGATGATTCCAAATGGGAGAGTCAGGTTAAGTATTTTTATTTCTAATATTAAATAAATATGGGAAAGGTATATCGGCTTTTTAATGTAGTTCAATTAATTTGAATAAATCAGTGAGTTGACATTTGCCTAAGGCTGATAAATTCTGACTGTAACACAGGATCTGGCTAGCAAACTGCCTACATCTCCACTAACTACTTCATAGCTCATGCATCCCTGGAAGCAACTCTTCCTTGCTAGAAGAAGCTTCCTTGCTAATTAGGAGGTTTCCTATGTTTTGCAGTGTCCTGATGTACTGATAGTACTTCCAGTACCCGTGGTACTGATGTTGAACATCTCACACATTTGTGATGTACCTTCCAAGTCGGATGAATGCTATTCCTTCAGCGCTTCAAGAGGGCTGCCTTCTGTCCCTGTAGATGTTCAATAGAGTGCTTCACACATTGTAGAGGCTCTTGAGTATCTGATGTATATTTTGGTAACAATAACAAAACCAGGCTTTCCCTGCTTTGGTATCAGTATTCAGTAGAGCTGCATTGGTAGGAAGGAATCAGGGTTATTCAAGGATTGGTAACCTTGAGAAGACATAGGAAGTGTCTTCCCTCCCTCACTCCCTCCCTTCTTCCCTTCAGCATTTCTTTTTTTTTTTCTCAAGATTCTACCATGGGTCATGAGTAAGGACTCATGATGAAGAAAAATAGTTACAGTCAGCAGGAAGATTATTTGGGCAGGGGTCTTCTTGTCCAGGGTCATGTCCTTCATTGCTGGTCTGAACATGCCAATCAATAAATAGTCTTGGGCCTCCGGTAAGTAGGTAAGTAGTTAGCTAAAATCTGAGAAAAGTGTTCTCCAGCAAAAAGGATTAGGGCAGGAGAGCTAAAGGGGTAGGAGAGGACAGTTTCAAAGGGACTGTTACATTCCTTTCTTCAGTAGCCCTTGGCTAGCATAGCAGTCACCCTGCTTCCAGAACCTGGAGAGTAAGCTCTGCGCTGTGAGAAATTGCCTGGTAGGCTGCCTTAAGAAGACCTGGTGCACCCCTGGTGACTGCCCGACTCACTGGAATGCGGAGGATGTCCAGTGAAGACTTCGCTTTGTGTTTGGGGAACAAACTGGGTCACATCCTTGCCAGCCATCCCATCTATTTACTTCCCCCACCTTGTTGAATGAATTTAAGTGTGAATGAATGAGTGGAAGAAGCAAGGACAGGATGGAGTGAGTGGATTTACAGGCTACAAAGACTACTAGAGACTCAGAGATTCTCATGAATTGCAAATTTATTGACTGAGGCACTGGAGTTGGGAGGTAGCCATTCAGAAACCAAGCGGAAAATCTGCAGAACAAGATGGAGCAGCTTGAACGACTTCTGGTTTCTTCTGGGGCAAGGGGTAGTGTTACGATGTGAAGGGTCTGGAAACCTTCGGCAATCTCATGAGAAAGTTAAGCCTGTCGGCGCCCACGGAAAACACCTCCAGCTCCTTTGTCTCCGTGGCATCCTGAGGACCTTACTTGCATGGCCAGGTAGGCGCCTGCTTCTGCTGGGTCTGGTGGCAGACTGGGACGCCCTTGCCACCTCCAGAGCCGCCCCCAGAGGAGCCGCCGCCGCAGCTAGAGCCGCCGCCGCCCCCGGAGTAACCGCCTCCGCAGCCACCGCCGCCACCCCCGGAGGAGCCGCCGCCACAGCCACCGCCGCCACCGGAGTAGCCTCCACCGCAGCCGCCGCCGCTGGAGTAGCAGCCGCCGCCGCCGCCGCCGCCAGAAGAGCCCCCTCCGCAGCTACCACCTCCGCCTGAAGAGCCCCCTCCGTAGCTCTGCTGGGGAGCGCAGGAGGTCTGGGTGGTCTGCTGCGACGAGTAGTAGCCCCCGCCGCCACCGGAGGAGCCGCCACCGCAGCTGCCGCCTCCACCACCGGAATAGCTGCCGCCTCCGCAGCTGCCGCCGCCACCGGAGGAGCCACCACCGCAGCTGGAGCCGCCACCGGAATAGCCGCCGCCGCCGCAGCTGGAGCCGCCGCCACCGCCACCGGAGTAGCCGCCTCCGCAGCCGGAGCCCCCGCTAGAGCCGCCTCCGTAGCTCTGGCTCTGATACTGTTGCGCCGACCCGGAAGAGCCGCCGCCGCCACCTCCGCAACTGCTGCCGCCGCCGCCGGAGTAGCCGCCGCCGCAGCTGGATCCACCACCTCCGGAGTAGCCGCCGCCGCCGCAGCTGGAGCCGCCGCCGGAGTAGCCGCCGCCGCAGCTGGAGCCGCCGCCGCCACCGGAGTACTTGCCCCCTCCGGAGCCACCGCCGCAGCCACCGCCGCCGCCACCGGAGGAGCCTCCGCAGTAGGAGCCGCCGCCACCTGATCCACCTCCGCAGCTGGAGCCGCCGCCCCCGCCTGAGTAGCCGCCTCCGCAGCTGGAGCCGCCGCCGCCGCCACCGGAGTACTTCACACCCCCGCCGGAGCCGCCACCGCCTCCACAGCTAGAGCCGCCACCGGAGGAGCCGCCGCCGCAGCTGGAGCCGCCGCCGCCTCCGGAGTAGCTGCCGCCGCCACAGCTGGAACCACCGCCGCCGGAGTAGCCACCGCCGCCAGAGTAGCCGCCGCCGCAGCTGGAGCCACCGCCTCCGGAGTACTTGACCCCCCCACCGGAGCCGCCTCCGCCGCCACAGCTGGAACCGCCTCCGTAGGAGCCACCGCCTCCGCCTCCGCAGCTGGAGCCGCCTCCAGATGAGCCACCTCCACAGCTGGAGCCACCGCCGCTACCACCGCTATAGTAGCCACAGCCGCCGCCGCCGCCGCCGCCACCACCACCACCACCGCCGCCACCGGAGGTCTTTCCACAACCCACGGGAGGACAGGGAGTGGGCTGTTTTTTCTGGTGAGACATCTTGTTTAAGGAGAAGGGGAACCCTGGAGAAAGAGCAGAAGAGCATCATTGGACCAGCAGCAAGAGGATGCTGCGAAGGAAGCAGCTGCATCCTTGGTAGCATCAATCTGACTCCCTGCATCATGTGGACCAGGCTTCTGGACTCCATTCAGGGGCTGCAGAGTTATTGCTAGGACAAAAGTCCGGTTTGTGGTGCCTCCTTCTCCCTCAACTCTGCCTGACTTCTGCTGTGTGATTTGGAGGGTAGACCAGCCACAATTCCATCTACTTTTTATCAAGGAACACTCCATCTCTTAGGATGCTCCAAGTCCCAGTCCTGATTCTAAGTTCAATAGAAAACTGCAGTAAATATTCACCTGGGCCTTTACCCATTCCCAGAACAACAAGGAAAGATTTGTTTGGACATTAATAGGCTGTAGGACCCATTTTCTGCAAAGCCCTTAGTTCAAACTCTTGATCTGCTATACTGAGTAAGAATATGCTCCAAGGGCCAAATATTAACAAGAGAGCTCTACTGTGGCCCTGCTGCAAAAAGAGGGAAGGGCACTGGACCATTTGGACCAGCACACCAGCACATCTGACCAGAAGATAACAGGCATCTTATTTGGGGATAGGCAGGGCTCTAAGTTTGGTAGAGAACCGCAGTCAGTAGGAACTTGGAGCCCAGAATCTCACAAGTTGTCTGTCTGTAAAGTAGGGCTTGGGTTTTGGTGGCTTCTCCATTATCTCCCATCAGCATCATTCTATGACTTATCCTCCCCACTAACTGACAGTGGGTTCAGCCTCTCCTGATAGATTCACAAGGTTCATCCAGTCTCCACTGCAGAGCCCTCAGCACCTTGGGTGCTAGAGAGGTAGGAGGTAGTTCTCTCTTGGCAGAGTTTAATGCTCTTGCCAGAAGACCAGAAACATCACCTGCCCAGCAGCTTACCACTCTCCCAGTGTTTTCCTAAATTCCTTCTCAGTTTGAATGTAGTAGCCTCCAAAGGGGGAGAGGGGCCCTGTCCCTTAACCTCTGCAAGCTGAGCAAGGCCAGCTGGAGAGGCCAGAGAGCCAGAGAGCCCACACTTACCTGAAGCACCAGGGGAGGTGAGTGAGGGAAGGAGATGATGGTGATGTGAGGGACATCGGAGCTCCTGAGGTTTTATACTCTTTGCCTGCTCTGACTCATCTATTGATCAAGCACCTCCTCGGTTACGTGACTAGTCACTCTTGGCCCCACCCCCTTGTGATTGCAAGCAAAGGATTGACCCATTCATGAAGATTTGGAATTCTTGGGATAGGGATAGGTGTTGAGCATATGACTGGCCACTTCTCTGATGTAATTGTGAGCAGGTTGGTCATTGGAGACGGCCAGCCAGAGTGGATGGCAAAAATTGTTTTCAAAACGTCTGGTACAGGTTGCATGCCATAACCAGAGAATGATACTTGAGGAATAGGTTCCAGACCTGTGAAGCAGCCTAAGAGAATCTGGAGATCGCAGACACTAGCCCAAGAAGTAGTATCTTTCAAAAATTTCTGTTTGATTCCTAGTCTCTTTACTTTGGAAATTCTCAAAACATTAGAATCCAACTCTCTTTTTTGCCATAATTTCTCTACTTTGGTTTCATGAATGCTTTGTTGGGATGTTTCTGCCCTGCCTATTGGTTGTGAGCGTTCATGAGTCCCCAGCTCCCAGTTCTGGATGCTATACGATGGTCAGCACTGTAACTAACACGACTCTAGCTTATTTGGAGTTGTTCCTGGTAATAGCAGGTATTTTGATCATCAACACTAACTTTACTTGCAGCGGTGAAAACTAACAAGACAGACCCTGGGGTCCTTTCCACCATGGCCTTTCGTCTCGGATATCCTGTGATGTTGAGTGGTGATTCAGACCTCTGAAGGGCAGCCGTAGAATGGAGTGGACTTGAGTTTGGTGACTGGGTTTGGGTCTCTCCTTTACTATTTGTCAGATGTGTCACCATGGGCAAAGTCTCAGCTCATACAAACTCTCCACACAGGGGGAACTCAGTATTTGTTGATTGTCAAGTGATCAAGCTTTCTGATCTTCACTTACTCTGTCTACCAAACAGGAATCCTATTATCTATTTCATAGGAACATGAAGAAGGAATAGTTATGAAGTATAAATGTATTTTGTATTATGTGATGTTGATATTTTTGCCATGTTCTCACATGGCACCACATTTTTACTTCAGATCAAGCCTTCCCTTGGCAAGAAGGAGTGTGAAGCCAGCTTAATTATTCTCCAATGAGAGTAACTCAGAACTTCCCTGATGACCCTGGAACCAAGGGCAGCCCCTCCGTGTGGAAGAACAAAGTGTTTTTCCCCTTCTTTCATCATTGGAACTCAGTTGCTATTAAGATACCACAGCTGAGCCTTGTTCCACCCAGCTGTGTTGAAATAACAATTCTAATCACAAATTGACTTAATTATGGGGGAGCATTAATGATCTAAATGATCCTGATTAGACTTTGGCTTTCAGAAACTCGTGGCACTTGTTTCAGTTTGGACAGTATGAACTCAGATGAATCAAGGAGGATCCTGGGTGTTCCTGCTCTTGGAGGATAGAGTAGAGAGAGAAGCCAGGATCTGTTGGAGAGGCAGGCTTCTCACCGTAGAGCTGGCACTAAGGTGTCTTTGGAGGGAAACAGCATCCTCTTTTGATAGTGGTTGCCATGGATGTAAAAGGGAATCTTTTTTTGGGGGGTCAGGATACATGGGAATAAGCTTGAACATGGCTCTTAGCACTGATCTGTGGACCGTGTTGGCCCATTACCATATACTCACCAGTCTGTAGGAAAAGTCTAAGTTAACATGCATTCGGTGGGGAAGAAAATCTGTAATTCAGAAGTCATGGCCTTCATTCTTCTTTTGTGTTTAGGTGTTATTTTTTATAAAAAGTGATGGTGATCTGAGCTGTAAGGTGCTGCCTTCATGTCCTTATGCATTAAAATGAAAATTTCATAGCTGCATAGTTACTGTTTGTTTTAATTTTGTTAAAATGAATTAAATTTTATATAAAGTAGGCAGTTTTATTGTATTTCTATACATATAATTTGATCATATTCATTCCCACTGTCATCCTTTTTTGCCTTCTTCCCATCTTTCTCCTTCTAGATCCCTTTCGCATCTTTTTTTATATCCATAGATTCCAGATGTCAGAGAAACACAAGATATTTATCTCCATGAGACTAGTTTATTTTGCTTAACATAATGATCTCTAGTTTCCATTTTTTCTGCAAATGATATATTTTTATTCTCTTTTATGGCTGAAAAAGTTCCACTGTTCATATATACCACATTTTCTTGTCTAACCAACACCTATGCTGGTTCCATAACTTGGCTGCTGTTATGCAATAAACATAGGTATACAGGCAATGCTGGAGTAAGCCGACTTGATTCTTTTGGGTGTACACCCAGAAGTGGTGTAGCTGAATCATAGGCAAGTTGTATTTTCCATATTCTGAGGACTCTCCATACTGATTTCTGTAGTAGCTGGACTGACTTACAGTCTCATCAGAATTGTTAGTGTTCTCAACCTGTCAAATTCTTATCATTTTTTTGTCTGTTTCCTTCTCTCTTGTTGAAAACCATTCTGGCTGGCATGACATGGGATCTCTAAGTAGTTTTAGTTTGCATATCCATAATGTTGAATTTTTGGCCATTGGAAAGTGCCTGTTTTGTTCAGTTGCCCATTTATTTGTTAGATCATCTGTTCTTTTTGATGCTCAACTTTTAAAATGTTTTATATATCCTGTATCTTAGTCACCCACTGGGTGAGTAGCTGGTGAAGACACCCCCCCCATTCTTCATACTGTCTCTTCATTTTACTGTTTCCTATGTACTATAAAAATCTTTTGCATTTCTTACAATCACATTTGTTAATTTTTTTTCTGTAGTTACCTGAGCTATTGGAATCTTTGTCAGAAAGTCATCACCTGTGTTCTACCCTGAAGTATTTTCCTGTAGTAGTTTCAAAGTTTTGGGTGTTAAATTACAGGTTTCATTTTGAGTTGGTTTTTGTGCATGGTGAGAGCTATGAATATGGTTTTAGTCTTTTACATAGTTCCAGAAGTTTTGGGGTCATTATAATTTTCTCTATGGGATTCTAAACCTTGGAAAACTCAAGTGCAGTTGACTCCAGAATAGCTAACAATTCTAAATGCCTAAAAGTTTAGTTTTAGTTGAAACCTGGTTGCTGTACTTTTAAAAAAATGAATGATAGTGTGATAATTCTTCCATTTTTAAATTGACAGTTTCATGCTTCTCACCAGAATTTTAGTTGTTTCATCCTCTTTCCCCTTTCGTCTCCCTTATTCTCCTCCCCTTGACTCTTTTTTTCTTAAAAGTTACCTTTTATTTTATTTTCACATCTTTTTGTGTGTGTTCCACTGGGATGAATTGTTTGAGTTTTAATATACTTTATTTACTTCACTATATTCAAATATTAACACCATAGCAAGTAATAAATAAAAAATGCCACAGGGACAATTTGCATTCCTTATCTTATACTTAGTTTTTAAAACCAACATACTTTATGTGGAAAACACATCTAATTAGGATGAGCCATGTGTCAAGTGTTGTCACTGCTGATATAATAACACCTGCTGTTATATGACTTTAATGGAAACAGATCGGATTGGGTCATAAAATGGGCTACTTATTTGATACCATAATTAATGATTTCTCCAAATAAGATGGTTTCTAATGTTAGGTGAATAAAACTAAACCAAAAGAATAATTTTAGAAGTCTACGCATGTCCCAAAACTCTCTTTAAAAATATTATCTGTTAAGCTGGGGGTGGTGAAGCATGCATTTAATTCCAACACTTGCAAAGCAGAGGTAGATGTATGTATGTGAATTTGAGGCCAAACTGCTTTACATTATGAGTTTCAGGTTAGCCAGAAACATGCAATAAGATTGTCTCAAAAATCTTATTATTTATTTTGAAATGTATTCTTTGAGTTTTTCATGCATATATACAATGTGTTTTGGTCATACCCAACTTCCTCCTCTCTCCTTGCAATTTTTCCAAGACCTTTCCACACTCTTTCCCACTTTCTTACCCCCTCTCAATAACTACCGATTCCAATTAGGACTCCCATCCTTCAGTGGATGGCACTATACCCTTGAGTGTGACAATTTGAAATGTGAAATGATGAGAACAAAATAATTAACATTTGATTGTTCTGGGAACTTTGAGCTCCTTGTAGTTATTTTGAGATAGACAGCAAATTATTGTAAGTGGTAGTCACTCTACAGTGACAAGGAACACAGGAGCTTCTTCTTACTAAGTGTATTCTGGTACCCACTGTCCATCTCCGTTTTCCTTCCCTTCCCTTCCTAGCACTGTAGTATCCACCATTCTATTCTCTCCTGTGAGGTCAATTTGAGACTCCAATTCTGTGTTCATTGGTACAGGCAGCACACGTGTGCAGGGCATTATGTTAAACATACATACAGAATGTGAGTGTCTTCTGTAGAGTTAGGGAGGGGGGAAGGAGACAAGAACAGTGCCTGTGATTGCTTTTGTTATCCTATATATCATTTAATAGGAAAAAAACCCCTCAAAGTAGTATTTCCACTTTGTCAACAGGTAGACACCCTGTAGGTGGCAGGACCTTACAGGAATACCTGATCTGTGACTCTTAGCTCTCAACTAATCTTGCATGAGTGAATGTTTTAGAAAATCTATTGTGTAATCGCCTGGACCAAGAGTGTTTCTACTTGAATATCTGTATAAAAAGCTGATTATCACTTTGTGTCACATTAGTCGGGAAATTATAGGCTTCTGTGGACTTACGACACATGCACAGTTGGGATTTTGTAAGATTTGGCATATCAAAAATTTGAGATTTATAGCTTTTGGACCCTTAACCTGAAATGCATGCTCACTAGCACATCTGACTTGTGCAACATGACAGATTGGGCCATGGTCCCTTACTTTCCTGTACTATATTTGTAGAGGGGGATGCACCTTTAAATAAGTAATTCTGAGTGTTACTGGTACTCAGTGAGTTTCACTGGGAGTGAGGACTCTTGAGACTTTCAGATAGTTAGGAGTGAGACAGTTCAGTTCCGGGCGTTAAGGGTCTCATACACAATCACAGATAAGGTCTTTTGGGGGAA